GGCAACAGGGGCCATTTCGGCTCTAGGGGGCAACGAGATCCATTTCAAATCCATTTCAATGGAAACTCAATGATTCTTAGAAGTATGTTTCTCAGACGATTGTATGGCGGTGGTGCAGCTGCCGATAGTGCACCTTCAAGGTCTGCGTGCCTTGATAGCATCCAGCCAGCTCGTGGAAACAGCTCTGCCAGCTCTGCTCAGATATAATCTTGCGAGGTCTCGTAGTCGGTCTCGCTCCATCCCTCGTGACGATGCTCTGGATGGGGATGTTTCGGAAATGGAGATAGCATCGGAGTCGTGCGGAGATGCTTGGCCCGTGGCTAATTGGGCCTGTCATTTTCTGTCGGCCGCGGGGAAGTCAAAGACTTTATTCCAAGCATCGTTGTCTCAGCCACTGGCCATCTAGCTTGCAATCAGTGGTAGTCAGTCTCAACTTACAGTTGATTTCTCATGGTACAAGCATTGAAGGTAATTACTACAGGTGTGCATGCCGGGGGGGGCCGAGGTCATAGCATCAGCGTGCTCCTGTACGGGTTCTCCATCTCATGCGTTGACACAATTGCTGGGGCTTGGCAATTTTGTCGAGCCGATTTCCTCAGAAAGACATGTTGCTGGCTAGGACGAGCAACAAATTTGTGATTGTTTGATGATCGAGGCAGACAGCTGACAGGTTTGAGTCTTTTTGTGAGTCTTGGAGGCTGCAACACGGCGGTGGTTTCTGCAAAATACGACTGTGGGCCATTGCTGGCATGACCTGCAATCTGCTAGGCCAGGACAAGGTTATCATAATCTAGGGCCAACGATTCTTGTCTGCTCGCTGGCAGTGCTGTGTGACAGGGTGGGCGGAATGTGCGCTGTGCATCATGGTCGTTGTCCACCTCCCCCGCTTCCAGGATCAGAGGTTGGGGGCTCCCGATGCATCACGCTTAACTTATGCTGCATGAGCTGCATAAGGGCAGTTATGGCGTAGTATGTCCGTATGCTGTAGGGCTTCCAGCCCATCGACATCTACATTTCTGGGTTTGTGTGCAAGCTCTTCTCCCAAGAGTCTACTACGAGATATCAGGCTACGGATGTGACCTCCCTTTTCACTTCTAGCGGCAGCACAGTGCTTTGATGCATGCACAATTGGTTTTGAAATACTCCGGCGTATCAGTCTGCTTGTTTCCAATATATCTTGATGCCAAGGCAGAGAAGGCTCGTCCATTCTTGGAAACTTCGAGATTTATCAGGACATACCGCCCCAGGTCATTTGTCAAGAACTAATTGTAGGAATCAGATTCGGATTTCAATGAAGTGACCGCCCAGGATATGTGTGCTGGAGAATGTCACTGGATTGGAAAAGCGGGCTGGGGCGACTCCTGCTTCAGCACGATACCAGGCACGCCAGCGTGCCAGCATGCCTTGTGCTATGTGTCCGTTCTGCTATGTGTAGTNNATTAAATTCTGCCGTTCTGCCTCAGCTGGTCCCAGGCATGTCATGTCTTGTCGGACCCCCGGGAAGCCAACAATTCGCAAATAGAAGAATCCCAATTCCGTGGCTGTCAAAACTTCTAAAGAATCCGTGGAGCCATGAATGCATTGCGGGGATTATATGCACGCGTGCGCTCTTCTGGATCACGGGATCCACAAGCAGAGGACCTTAGCTTAGTTTCAGTTTCTCTGCATGCAGCATGGCTAGGCTGGTTATGCCGTCATGCTATGGTAATCGCATGGCCGCAGGACCATCCACCGGCAAGGCAGTTTGTGTCCAGCCCAAGTCCTGAAAGAGCTCGGCGACAGGGTAATTGGTCTGCCGGTCGGGCGCACAGCGCTCTTTGCATTGCTGGCCGTGCAGCGAAGCAGGTGAAGGAGGCCAGCAAATTGCAGCAGTTTGCCAATTCCGTGGAGCAAGATGTGTGCCGCATCACGTTTAGCTTGCTGGCCCACGGGAAGAACTCAGCAGCGTCGCGCAATGTGTGTCGTGTTGGCAATCAATAAGCTTGTCAGTCTGTCACAAGTCAGAAGCCAGAATCCTGTGACCTGACCGATTTGTCGTCGTCATCTGTCCGAGGCAGAACTACTCTCATTTTCAGACCGCGGATGGCGACATTGCAGGATACCAGGGGTACCAGCGCGTTGATTCGAACCTGCAGCGGATGAAAGAACTTGGTGTAGTATCTCATTTTGTCGCCCAGAGGGACAAACTGGTCAGTTGGCTTGCAGGGGCTGGCGCAGGGCAAGGACTTCGTCATGCTGTAGTTGTGCGGGTATTTGACGATACAAATGTGTGGGTGGCTCCATCTCACAGGGCCTTGCCCAACGTTCAAGCTGAGGCAGAAGCTGCCGGAGAGCATCCAGCAGAAGAGGCACTTCCTGAGAATCGTGGCAAGAAGACTGCGGGCAAGCAGGGGAAGCGCAAAGTCAGTCCGCTGTTGGGGATTATTCAGAAGATATTCGTGAGAGGTCCTGATTCCGATTC